GGGGGGGGGGGGTGGATTGAGGAGTCCCACGTCGAGCAAGGACGCTGAGTCCCAAATCCACATCGAGCAAGGGGAGTAGATTCTGAGATCCCCACATCGGTTGGGGAGGAGAACAAAACATTCTTTATAAGGGTGTGGAAACCTCTCCCTAGCAGACGCGTTTTAAAACCGTGAAGGGTAGCCCAAAAGAAAAAATCCAAAACGGGCAATATTTGCTAGCGGTAGGCTTAGACTATTACAGTAATAGCCAGATGAAACATCCCTATTCAAACTACTAATAAGAATCGGGTAATTATTCGGCTCTAAATCATCCTCTCATCTACTTCATTAGTATGAACTATATCAAAGACAACACTCAAGTATTATAGATGGGACTAAATTATCCCGAAAGTAGACAATATCGTATATTAATCGATCAAGATCGACAAAGTCGTACCACTGTTTCACGTGTGGAACGGTCTCCCAGCAATCTGCCAAGTATGGAATGATATCAAAGAATTAATTTCTGAAGCTTTTTGAGCCACAAAAAATGCTCCATACACCATAGCAGGAAGTCAGTAGAAAATAGCAGGAATCACAAAAAAGAATGTAATCATTGGACTAGTTTGCACAAACCTCAACTAATCTTATGGAACAAAAAGTGTTATCGTTCGAGATTAGTTGGAGTGGTGCGTAACTAGGCCTAGATACTCGTCGTATATATACACGAAACATCCACATATCATAAAACAAAGACGAGTATTACATGAAGTCGACAGTTCTATCCTTGCTCATCGACATCAATTTTTAAGCAATCTATAAACAAACTAACCTGTATTTACTTCATCGCCACCCAAATGGAAGAGCTCAAATGGGAAAATTTTTCTCAAATCTGTAACACATCGAATCGAAACGAAACAAAACTTGAGGACGGCTTAGGGAACATAAGATCAGTCCTATAAACTATATGCAATAATATGAACAATGTAGTAGCCTAACCTGTTAAGATACCGGATATCAAATCGAAAGTAAAATTTTTCGTAACGTCGAGTGGTTCTTTACATGAAGGAGAAGGCCAGAGATCTGGATATCCGACACCCCTACACGAAAATTAACGGAATATATGTCACTCTCATCCCAAGTTTACCAAGGGAATTAGACCATAAAAATGACTTTACCAAGATTCAGCATGTCCTGGAACATCCACTTCTGCCATAACATTGATGCCTAAAAATTCAAAACAGTTCTTTAGAAGACGAGTATCATTAAGAAGACGAGTACTCGACACGAGCTTTAGACGGTGAAGCTTACCCCGCATTTTGGCAAAGCTTCGCAACAAGAAAAACAAAAACGAAACGTAAGTCATTGGAAGATAAGTAATATAAGCTGAAGTTTTTGATTCATAGGAATTCAAGTGACAAATTAAGCTGCAATGTGCTCTTTGATCCATGAAATAGTTGAAGAGAAGTTAACAAAAGGACATAAAAGCACTAAATTGTGGTGAAATTACTTGGGAGTTCAAACAGCCATGGAACTCTTACGTGACAATATCGTAAGCATCCTCGATGGTATAACGCTCATGTTTCGTGTAGGCGCCTTTCCACAGATTTGGATATGAAGGTACTTCGAGAGGAAACGATTCCTCGTCTACCATGTGCCAATGAAGTACATTCTACTTAACAAAAACATATCAGTTTAAAACAATTAAAACCAAAAGGAGTTCATAATTAAGAACAGTTTATCATTTACTCACGAGTTTAGCATAAGACATAGATTCAATGATATGCTTTATTACATCTACTGGAAGAAAGTGCCTTGAAGTATCTGCAAGGGATGCATTGGGGCCAAAAATTATAAGTAAGTTGCAACATTGTTTGATATGTTAGCTATATAATAGAATGGGTTACCTATGAGAAGGCCACGATATGAGAATCTTGGGCTGTCTTTGATGTACCATGGAGCTTGGTAAATTTGTACATCCTTTGTCTCATAGTTGAAAGTACAGAGTTGACTGAATGTCTGCGCCAACCATGTAGTATAAGAAGAAAATGGATCTAAGATGATCAAATATGTTACAAATTCCTTCACAAATCATAGGGTATCTTGGTGTTTGGGAAGGGAAATTCTAGGAGAAGTCGTGTGTAGAAATATGAGGCCTTAACAATGACCATCCGTAAGGACTAAAACTAAGTAGCAAGTATGTGTTAGGAATCACGACTCTCCACAATGGTATGATATTGTCCACTTTGAGCATAAGCTCTCGTGGCTTTACTTTTGGTTTCTGTAAAAGGTCTTATAAACTCATGGACTCCCTCCCAACAATCCTCTCCTCGAGCAAAATACACCATAGAGCCTCCCCTCAAGCCTATAGAGCCCTTGAACAGCCTCCCCTTATTTAAGAGTCAACTCCCTTCTTTGGAGGCCTCGAACAAAGTACATCCTCTGTTTGACATTTGGGTCACTTTTTTACTACACCTTCAAAGCTCATAACTTCTTTTTCGACATTTGAGGATTCTATTGACATGACTAAGTTAAGGGCATGGCTTTGATACCATGTTAGGAATCATGACTCTCCACAATGGTATGATATTGTCCACTTTGAGCATAAGCTCTCATGGCTTTGTTTTTTGTTTCCCCAAAAGGCCTCATACCAGCGGAGATGTATTCCTTACTTATAAACTCATGGACTCCCTCCCAACATCCTCAACAATCCTCCCCTGAGGCCTATAGAGCCCTCGAACAACCTCCCCTTATTTAAGGCTCGACTCCTTTCTCTGAAGCCCTCGAACAAAATACACCATTTGTTCAACACTTGAGTCACTTTTTTACTATACCTTAGAAGCTCACAACTTCTTTGTTCGACATTTGAGCATCCTATTGCATAGCTAAGTTAAGAGCACGACTCTGATACCATGTTTGGAATCATGACTCTCCCCAATGATTTGATATTGTCCACTTTGAGCATAAGCTCAAAAAGGCCTCATACCAAAGGAGATAATGTTCCTTTCTTATAAACCCGGACTCCCTCCCAACAATCCTCAACAGTGTATACACACGAACCAGTAACTAGTAGAATAGTGAAAAGAAAATAGTGGGTACCTCCAACCCTCTCAATGCACCATAAACAGTAGGTGCCTGCAGAACCAGAAGATCAATATCAAGCCAAAGGATGATTAAACAGAACATACCCAGATGAACAGAAAGGCACAACCATTCTACCTCAATTGTGGCTTCCCCTATAATCGACTGCGCATCCTTCTTCGATACAAACAACGTATAGCTCTCATCCACGCCAAGTTGAAGCTGGAAAAACAAAAAAAGATGATAATCACCTCAGAAAAACCAATTAATTCAACAAGATTTCACCACTCCAGCTTACTTCCTCAGAATCCGAGTGAACAATAATCTTCAATTCGCTAATATCATAAACAAATGTCCTCCGTCTTCCCCAAATCTGCTCAAATATAGAAACCCCAGAAGTGTGCTTGAATATGATTCCTCTGTATCGATCAAACGCCGCTTTAACAATCGCAGAGTTGCCGCCATTGCCGGCGACGGCGAGAGAAAGCTGAGGATCGACGGAGAGAGTAGCATTTCCGGAAGTGAAATCCGACGGCAAGGGCCATAGATATGGAAGGGAATCGTTGGACCCAGATGGTGAATGAAGGGCGAGAGCTGATGGGATCAAAAGGGCAAAGAAAATGTGGAATTTGAACATGATTTGATTTACAAGTTTCGAGGAATTCGAGGATAAAAGTGAGCTGGGGTTGCGATGAACAAGAAGTCAAATGCTGTGGAATATTTGAGTTGACGAACCCAAATGATTGGTAGATTTGTTGACGGATAAATAACTTCCACCAAGTTAACTATTCCATGTCTTTTATTTACCTGTAAAATAAACTTCATTTAAAATATATAATAAATGTTTTATTTTACTTTTCACAATTTAATATTATTTAAATGTTTTCCGACCTCCTTAAAAATCTTGTTAAAAAATAATTTTTATTGTATTTTTAAAAATATTTATGGTAGAGATTTAGATTAAGTTGTGTTGTGAATTATATTTGAGTTGCTCTGATCACCAACCCAACTAACAAAAAAAAAAAAAATTTAGGTTGATTCAGAAGATTTTCACCCACTGCAACTCTAGCAAAAATGAGTGGATTATATTGAAATCTCGTCCAATATATATATTTTTTAATTTTAAAATAAAACTAAAAATATTCCCAAATAAAATAAAGTAAATGAATTTATAATATGCTTTGATCTTTATTTTCTTCCCATTTAATTACTTGTTATTTTCAATTGCTTTCCTTTTAATCAAAACAAAATTTATGATTGTGTTTTACAATAAAAGTACAAAAATATCCCTCAAAAGCTAAGTTTACAACAAAATAATAGAAATTTAATTACTTGTTTTCTAATGCAAATTATAGCTTTAATTATTGGAGTTCAAATATTTTTAAATTAAGGCCTTGGGCCATGAAAGTCTCTCGCTTGGGCCATGGGCCATGAAAGTCTCTCGCTTGGGCCATGGGCCTTATTGTGAGCGTTCCAAGATGTATGCTTTAGGTTGGCCCAATTGACCCAATGCTTTACATTGGCCCAATAGGCCCAATGCTTTAGTTCATATTTCAATAATTATTCTCCTAATTGTTTTTAATGAAAATTAGGTGGAAATTATCCTAAATTTGCGGAGATCAAATATTTTATAAGAAAATTTCCATTTTTTTAATGAATAATCTTTCATTTATTTTAATATGATTTATATTTAAAAAAATCATCCAACATTTTAACTCATTCAATAATATTTTATACGCGTTCTAATTTAATATTTAAAAACTCAAATTTTAATATTATAATATAAATGAAATGGAGACCGACAAGTTCCAACGACCTAGCTCGAATTAAATAAATATCTTTGTTGTCGATCATCCATAATCAATATATGGTTTTCCATCTAAATGTTACTAATTTTGGTTTAATTTAATGTCGTAATTTAAAACGTTCATTTAAATCTGAATTTGGAGCTAGCCAAACCCGACCAAAAAGGTAAACGGGTGTGGGACCAATAGAATATTTTAAATAATTAATTGATTTTGTACGTTTATTTTGGGCAACTGTTACACCAACATTAATAAAAGGATTCGAATCCTTATATATATTTTTTTAAATAATGTTTTTAGATTTATTTTTTTAATTTGAAATGTTAATTTTATTAAATTCCGTTCAACACGTGGCATTTTATCACATAGTTTTTAAAAATTATTATTATTTTTGCGCGTCACTTTACTGGTTCGTACGCTTAACTGAGTTAACCATAACAGTGAACAAACCGAACCGAACCTTCTATTTTGCCGCGATGCCCACAATTTCGCGTTAAATTTACCCATTTTTTTTTCATCTTCTTCCTCATCGCGATCCCTCCATTGTTACACTGCTCGCATTTTCGATCATAGCAGCAATGGTGCAGCCTGTTATTGCCCTTCAGAATGATGAGGAGAGCTCCCTATTGCTCCAGTCCGGCGCTAGCGACCTCTCATGGCGTTTGAACTTTGACGGCTTTCAGTTGTCTCCAGAGTATAAGGAGAAGAAACCTCCTCGTGCACTCCATCATTGCCTTGGGGTTTTGAGTAATTTCCTTCCACTTTTTTCCCTCTTTTTTTCCTCCTCTGCCTGATTGATGTTTGTTTTTCTTTTTTTGTTTCGATCCGTGCTTGTTTTGTCAATATCGTATTCGATGGTGTTGGTGCCTTGTTCTTTACTGGGAATATCCGTTTTCATGTCTTGGTTTGTTGTCTCTCTCTTTCTAATTTGTTTTTAGCGTAGCTGCCGATTATATTCGTTTAATTTTGTTTGTTTGTTTGTCAAGAGGATTTATTCTTCTGACACTTCGCCACTTCCTTTAATTTCTGTCCTATGATAGTTGGATTTCTCTTTTCGTCAAATTTTGTTTATCCTTCGCCGTATTATTTTCTTGTTGATTAAAGGGAAATTTTGATTCCGTTTGCTTTATTTTATGTATTTAATGAGCTATTGGTCTAGCCATTCTTTGGATGAATTTAAATTGGTGAGGAGGATATGCATTTCAATGTTTCTAAGGCCTGAACTGGAAGCTGGAGGATTATTGTTTTTGCTGCTATTGGATGTGGATGTTTGTGGTTGATTAATTCTTACAGTTGAGTAATCTTTTTTCATATTTAAGTTCTGAGATCCTGAGGTCTTGGTAGTGGAATGGAAAGTTGAGCAGTGGTTTCCACTTTCTGTTGCATTCATGGTCCTTGGTTTTGTTAAAATTTTAAGTTGCAAGTTTGTTCGTGCATACGCTTTTTTGGCTTTGTAAAAGCATGTATATGTCGTCATGTATCTGTTTGTATAGCTATTACTAGTTTGTATAATTTGTGATTAACAGATAGCATAGTTAGATATAAATTTGTGGAGGAAAAAAAATGTAAATCCATCTTATTCTTGACTTTTTCTTGATGAATTCAGGTCCTGAAGATTATGTAGCTGAGTACTACCAGCAGCAGGTTGAAATGCTTGAGGGATTTAATGAAATGGATGCCTTAGCCCATAGTGGTTATATTCCTGGATTGTCTAAGGTTAATATTGTTATGTACTTCTATGCTTTCTTAATGAAGGGGATAATCTTCACTGCTCAAAACCAAATTTTATTTTTGGTGGTTGCAGGAAGAACGTGAAGATTTAGCAAAGAGTGAAACCTTTGCAATAAGAATATCAAATGTTGCCAATATGGTTCTGTTTGCTGCTAAAGTCTATGCATCCATCAGAAGTGGTTCTCTAGCTATAATTGCATCCACATTGGATTCACTTCTTGATCTTTTATCTGGTTTCATCCTATGGTTCACTGCATTTTCCATGCAAACACCAAACCCGTACCAGTATCCAATTGGCAAAAGACGTATGCAGCCTTTGGTCAGTAATCGTGCTCCTTCCGCTTCTTTACTATTTGTCAGTATAAAAAAAAATGAACATACAGTTGTATGTTACCAAAAAATGAACATACAGTTGTATGTTACCATAAGCCCATCTGCTACTCCATGCAACCTCCTCTTATTTAAAGTCACAAAACTATTATTGATTTGGCATCGACTCTTAATATACCCTTATAGGTAGCTAACTGCCGTTAAAGACTCTCCTCAAGACTCCTTACATGTGAATTCCTTAGAAATCTTTTATTTTGTTTTTAGAAGGTCAAATCTGATCCTTTATTTTGCTTAACATCCGATTCTGCCGTTTGTTCATATTTTTCTAATGGATTATGGACTGCGGAACCTGGACTGCTTCTAAAGCTGTAGTTGTTTAAGAGCTATGGAATTTCACTTACTATGAGCATGAATAAAAAGATTTCAACTTGTCATGTACTTCAATTATTATGCAGTACCATGTTCAGTTCAATTTCTATAGTACTGTGATCAATTTCTAATTTATATGGCTTTCGAACGTCCCTCAGGCCTGTATTGCCTACTGGAAAGCAAAATATTTTCCACATTATAACGATCAATTAAATTTTAAACCTTATAGCATTATTTGGAAGAGCAGTTATTTTGTTAAATGTGTTCATACCATTTAAATCCGGTTGCAGTCAAAAGGTTCATTTTGGAAGGGGAGCAGACCTGTGGTAATGATTGTGCCTTATGGAGTTCATATAGTTGTTTGCTGCTGTTTCTCTGGATGGTTTAATGATGGATAATAGATGGTTGCTGGTGATTTAGTTACAATTTGATGTTAAATCTTATAGAATTTGAGTCATCTTGTGTTAGCTTTTCTCAATCCTATATCTGATACTCATGTCAGGAGTCTTACTGCAGTTGAAAGGTTGGTTTTTATTTTCTATAGGCTCAGTTGACTTCTCTTATCCACTTCTTTATATTGATACTGATACTTAGGACAGACTGCAAGGATGGAAGATCGGTAGTATATATGCCTTCCAGTTGTCAAAGGCCCATACTTTTCAATTTCTTAACTCTCAATTTGCAGAATTGTGAAGGAATTGTCTCTCAACAACAAAGAGGGTGGTTTGGGTATGAGGGGGGTTTAGTATGCTTTACTGGCCAATTGAGGTTGGAGGATACTTAGAATTTACTTCCGTTGTGAATCCTCTAAGCTAAGTACCACAAAATTCAAGCTTTATGGAAGAGAAAATGGGGTGAAAGCTTTGTGGGGCTGGATAATCATGTTTGAAGGGAGGAAAGTCCTGGAAGCTGATTTGGGATGGAGGGTGCATGATGGGATTTTTGGTGCAGTTGCCTGAGAATTGAGACAGTTCATCTACATTTGTATCGTTCCTTGTGAGTAGGGCCTACACCAGTAAAGTCATTAACAAGGGAGCAGTAGAATTCCCACTACCGCTTGCAGGCCAGCCAGGTCTTGAGTGCGGTTCGATTGGAAGGGAATTTAATTTGCGGAAGAACTCTTAATACCCGATCCAAGCACTTTTCAAGTTCTTTCTAACCCTAGTATTGCAGTGAAAAGGAGGTCGATCTATTTTGACCAAGCATAATATAGTAAGATGAGAGCAAAAGAGTATCTTTTGCACAGAGGACATAGAGGCTCATTTAGAGATTCTTTTTAGTATGTATGAGAGGTAGTCTAGATGGTTCTATATGGAATTTTAATCCATCTGGTAAATCCATTGTGAAGTCTCGTTATTTGTTTCTTTGGAATTGGAAAAGCATGCTTATTTTATGGAAAGGGGTCAGAGGATAAACCGGCAATTCTCGTTTGTACAAAAATTTGGGAAAGACATATTGAAGCTGCAGGACGTCTTTAGCAGTCAAATGAAATTTTAGGAAAAGGGGAACGGAACTGGAAGTTGTTGGTGCAACAACCCCAAGCCCACTGCCAGTAGATATTGTCCTCTTTGGGCTTTTCCTTTTGGCTTCCCTTCAAGGTTCTTAAAACGCCTCTGCTAGGGAGAGGTTTCCACATTCTTTGTTCCTCTCTCCAACCAATGTGGGATCTCACAATTCACCCCACTTCGGGGCTCAACGTTCTCGCTGGCACTCATTCCTTTTCTCCAATCGACGTGGGACCCCCCCAATCCACCCCCCTTGAAACCCAGCGTCCTTGCTAGCACACCTCCAATCGACGTGGGACCCCCCCTCCGGGGCTCAGCCTCCTCACTGGTATATTGCCCAGTGTCTGATTCTGATACCATTTGTAACAGCCCAAGCCTACCGCTTGCAGCTATTGTCCTCTTTGGGCTTTTCCTTTCAGGGTTCCTCTCAAGGTTTTTAAAACACCTCTGCCTGGGAGAGGTTTCCACACTCTTTGTTCCCCTCTCCAACTAACGTGGATCTCGCTCTTGGAATGTGCTAAACAATTTTGGTTTGTGAATCCGTCAGCAGTTGGAAATTTGGCACTTGGTAGATTGTGTCTGTTACTAGCTTTCTAAATCTAAATGAAGCCTCAACTTACACTACCCAATTGGATCTTGAAATCCATCAACCGATTAGCTTTTTAGCATACCTTTATTCATCCTGCAGAAGTAGGCATTCACGTCCAAGCTATGGCTCTCAATTCTTGAATGTGATCCAAGAGAACAAGAGCCCCAGATATCTTGGTATTGAGAATTTTGGACGTAGACAATGAAACCAACAATCTTTAAGGGAAGAGCTCAGCTTCCCGTCTGTTCATAGAGGCAGCTAGGGATGCAAATTCGAGGATGGCTAGGCTGCAATAAAGGATGCTCTGCATGCCGATGGCCAAACCATGCGTAAAGAACTCTTAAATTGTCTAGAGAACCAGAGGTGGGGGTATTCTGATTAGAGTGTAATCTGATTCCACCAGGCTGGTCCAGCACACTCAGAAGACAGCTAGCGCTAATGTGACAATCCTGGGCAATACCTCTGACATTGTGTCTCTTGGCACATCTTTTTTGAGATGTGATTGTTATATATATATATATATATATATTCACTCATACATATATTATAATTTATGCTTGACGATAGTTGAACAGATAAACCCACATTTAGCTAAAATGGGCATGCTGGTTCTTTATCCTTGTGGTTACCCCACCCCTTTTTGATCAATTAGTTTCTTTGAAAGATTGAAAGATTGAAAAATAAATAGAACTCTTGTTTTGCTGGATCTTTAGATTTTGAATCCTTTCCGTAGGCAAGTAGAATGAGGATTACATGAGGTCTCATGCATTCAAGAGAAAAAAATAATAATAATAAAGAACTACCATCCAAGTTAGGATTGTTCGCACCATTCTATCATTAATCAATGTTGGGTAGATTTTTTTTTTTTTAAAAGAAAAAAAAAAGAAAGAAAGAAACTTATCTATGATTATGGGCTATTGCTACTAGACGACTTATATTCTATTTTTTGTTCTAATGCAGGGTATTCTTGTTTTTGCCTCTGTCATGGCAACTCTTGGATTACAGATAATACTGGAGTCAATTCGAATTCTCTTATCAGGTGTAAGTAGTTAGAGAATCATCTCTCTTTTTCTCGTGAAATTCCCCAAGTTTTTCCCTCGAGCAGAACAGCTGTTTACCTAGATAGTTGATTTGGTTTTTGTTCCACACTGTTCAGAAGGTTTGATATCTATTTCCTTTATTTACGTTCTTGCTCTTTCCAGGATTCTGAGTTCAACTTTACAAGGGAGCAAGAGCTATGGATTGTGGGCATTATGCTTTCAGTTTCTCTTGTGAAACTACTCTTAGTCGTTTATTGCCGCTCTTTCACCAACGAGATTGTCAAAGCTTATGCACAAGATCATTTCTTTGATGTGATCACCAATGTAATTGGCCTTGTTGCTGCACTCCTTGCTAATTATATAGATGGCTGGATGGACCCTCTTGGAGCTATTATTGTGAGTTTCAGTTCTCTCTCAACATTATGTTTACTCCAACATCTTGAATGCAGTACTTACTGTTGTATGTACATTAGCACGCATATTTGCTGAATCCAAAACTCGCTTAATAGCATATTTGTTTCAGTGTGCATCTTGTTTATAAGATCTTAAACTTCTTATACATATATAACCCCCTGAGAATGGATTTTTCTGGATCACCATTAACCTTTACAAGTTGGGCATGTCGAAAATCTGTGAGTTTTGGTCGAAATATTATATATCCAGATTTGTAAAACTATTTCTTGTGCTTCATTTTATTTTCGAATAGTGTGAACTTTGTAGAAGTTGCTTATGTTTACTCTGAACTCTGAACTTCTGCAGCTGGCCTTATACACTATTCGCACCTGGTCGATGACGGTATTGGAAAACGTGAACTCCCTTGTTGGAAGATCAGCTGCCCCTGAGTATCTACAGAAGCTCACCTACCTATGTTGGAACCATCACAAGGCCATCAAGCATATCGATACAGTTCGAGCATATACATTTGGGTCACACTACTTTGTCGAGGTTGATATCGTTCTGCCAGGAGACATGCCTCTGGAAGAGGCACACGACATTGGTGAATCATTGCAAGAAAAGCTCGAGCTCCTGCCGGAGATTGAGAGGGCCTTTGTTCATCTCGATTACGAGTACAAGCATAAACCAGAGCATGCACAGACACACTCTTAGAACAAGGCAAACACGGTACTCTCTTCACTCTACATTCCACCTGATCTATGTGGTGAAGTGTAGAGATCGAGTTTGAGCTTGTAAATTTGCCTTAATTCTATCTGAATGGTGTGGGATTTCTTTGGTAATCTTAGAAGAAAATAGAGCAAAAAATGAGCTTGTTCGTTCTTTTTGTCAATCGAAGAAAGTGTATAAAAACCGAAAACTCGGAAGCTAGTTTCAGAAATTTTTTGTCAAGAACCATCGTATATTGCTTCGAAAATCGAAAGCATATGAATCTAAATGATGTAGCGAGTATGGATTTTATTTTTCTAACCTGATGCTTGGATTTGGTAACTTGTGTATTTATTATTTATTTTTGTATTTTTAAATGCATTATTGAAATTTTAAAAGTTCTAAAATATTTTTTATGATATGATCGAACTTTATGATTTATAGAAATTGATCATATTAAGGACATATTAATGTTCCTTGTGAATGCATGATTTTGTTTGAAATTAATGTATCTTTTCTTGTATGTCAGAAAACATTGTCAGATTTTGTGCCATGATTTGAAGACAATTGACAAAATAGCCACCCAAAAAGATGAAAAGAAATATGTCCCAATAAGAATGTCGTGTCCATTTGTTGTGATTAACCTCTTTATTTTCAAAATCTTTGTTATAAAAATATAATATCTTTTTAAATGTATTTACACGTTTTAAATGTCAAGAAGATTTCAACTTTATTAAAAAAATAAAATAAAATAAATAAATCTTGTCAATGAATTTTAAATATATTAAAAAAAATAAAAAATAAAAAATATTATATTTTTGTCAAGTTAAGAATTTAAATATATTAAAAAATAAAAAATAAAAAACAAACTACTTCAATAAGAAGAGACAAAAAAAAATATAATATCAAATGGGACCGTTTTAATTTTTTTTCTACTTTTGTCAATGAATTTTATATTAACAAAGACTTTTTTATTAATTTTTTTTGTCATTTTCTGGTTTTTTATTCACGCATTTACCATACATATAATTTAGACAATTCTAAACGTCAATATCTTGATTAGATTTTTTTTTTTCAATTCAACTACTTTTGTCTTATTGTCGTTAATTTCACGATTTTAAAATGTCTACTAGGGAGAAATTTCCATACATTTATAAGAAATGTTTCGTTCTCCTCTTCAAATGACGCGAGATCATACAATTCATCTTCTTTAGAGGCTCAGTGTCCTCATTGACACATCGTCCAATGGCTGAGTGGACTTGAGCTGTAACATTAAATGTCTAACTTAACCAATTCAATTGGTCAAACGTCTCATTCACTAATTGAAGCCGACCCTAATTTAAAAATAAGTTAAGTTTTACATTCGAATATTAACATAATGTCATATTTTAAAAATAATTATTGAAAATAATGACAAAATAGAAAGAAAAAAATGTTGCATCAGTGGTTGCGTGGGCAACTCCAACACCCCATCCATTATCCCCTGGGCCCCACCTTCTACTCTCAAATTTTCTTCTAATTACTCTTCGGTCCACATCTGAAAGTTCCCTTCGATTTTGACCCCTATCCTAATTTTTTTTTGCATTATTTTCCTGCAAATTAAATGGAAAATAAGTGATAATATTACTTGTAATTTTATTTATTTTTATGTTAAATTACTTATTTATAATCTATAGTTTATAAGTATTAAAAAATTTAGTATTATATGGGTGATTGCTGAGTAAATCAAAGGTATATGAATAAATCGAGATCAATTTCGAATAAAAGTCGTCCTTTTATGCTGTCGTTTTAATTATTCAAGACACTTACGGATCTTAGCTAACAAACAAGCAAGAACATGATCAACTCGTAAGAATAAGAAGAATACTTAGATTAATGAAAATTGCACTAAAAATCGATGCTTCACAAATTGAAAGTTGAACTCGAACCGTAAATGTGAACTCTAGTCGTTGAAGAATCCCACAGAGACGAGACATTATGAACGAAAAACATGAGCACACGAGTTTCATGTTTGAACAAGGGTTACCGAACATGACGTTATTATGTGATTTTTCGTAGTATCGAGACGCTTTAATATATCGACGCTAAAAATTAAATAAAAAATAATTATCTTAATTATCTACTAGGATATATATTGATGGACACGTAGGTTTACCCGTAGGATTCACATCGCGTGGGCCCAAGCGATCACGTGGTAAGGAGGAGGCTTTCTCCAGTTCCAAAACAAGACAAATGATTGGTCATTCACGAATCCCATTCAATCCCCTCCCCACCAATTATCACCCAAAGCCCACGTGGTCGGCTACTACTGGCTGGCCCACACCGTCGTCATATTTCATTGCCATCCATTGCTGTCACGTTATCAAAACCCTTTTCACCTATTGAATTCTTCCCCTTCTTCTATTCTATTTATACACAAATTTTCTTAAAACAATTGATCCCATAAGCTCTTCACAACAAATATAATGGCTGATTCTTCTGCTGCTTACATTCATATGGTAAGTTGGTAACCCTTTCCTTTCATATTTTTCTCGTAAAATCTCATCCGTTCGTTCCGATCGATCGATAATGTGTAAAAACGTTCCTCTCGCTGATAATAGGTGCAACGCTTGATTGAAATGTGTTTGATCTTCCGTATGAATAAAGAAGAGTGCATGGAAGCTGTTTCTAAACACGCCAATATCAACCCTGTAATCACCTCTACTGGTACTGGTTCGTTGACGTTTTTAATTAATCCGCTCTTCTTCCACTATGATTCACCTCACCGGTATCTCTTTTCTTTCAGTGTGGAAGGAATTAGAGAAAGAAAATAGAGAGTTCTTTGAAGCTTATTCGGAGTCTCGAACCATAGACGATAGAATATTAGCTGAAGAAGAGACAAGACGGTTGATCCAAAGGATGATGTCCAAACAAGATACCGATAACTAGCAAATTCTATATGCGTGCATGCACCGATTACCTAGATAGCATGAGACGAGTTACATTGTTCATATCCAATTGAAATATGTTATGTGGCCATCTTGTCAAAAAATAAGGGTCATTATGTAGTTTACTCGTACTCGATATGATATATATTTACAATGAATTATTTTTTATTTTTTTGGGTAAATTTTGTAGGGTAATTGAGATGGTGACATAAGACTCTTCTCCTATCGTCCCTTGTTGATTGAAAATACAAATAACTTAACTCATTCTTTGTCTTTAATATTTGATGTTCACACAACTTTAGAGACATATAAATGAAGCAAAATAACAGAGGGACAAGTAGGCGCTTTCTAGCCATCCAAATCACGAGCTTTTCTCTAGCACTATCCAGTGTGTGTTTTACGGTCTAAACTTCCCGACTATCATATTTAGGTTCTATTTGATAACGATATATTGTTTTACCTTGCTTTGAAACTGAAAATAAAAAAATATAGGTCTCTTATTTTTTGGGATTCGAGACGATGAATAATCAAATTGGAATAAAAATGTTTTTTTTTTTTGTGTATATCAAAAATCAAAAATAATTATTTATTGATGTTATTTACCATAATTTGTTAACATATTATAATTACTAAAACGCCCGGTGTCGGGCTTTGATATCATTGTCATAACCCAAGCCTCAACTAGCAAATATTGTCCGTTTTGGTTCGTTATGTATAGCCATCAGCTTCATGGTTTTAAAATGTGTATGCTAAAGAAGTTTTCACACTCTTATAAGAAATGCTACATTCCTCTCTCCAACCGATGTGGGGATCTCACAATCCACCCCCTTGGGACCAGAGTCCTCTTTGTCACACCATTCAGTGTTTGGCTCTTATACCATTGTAATAACTCAAGCCTACCCCTAGCCGATATTGTCCACTTTGGCTCATTATATATTGAACACGTCTGTTAGAGAGAGGTTTCCACACCCTTATAAGGAATGCTTTGTTCCTCTCCTCAACTGATGTGAGATCTCACAATCTACCCCCTTAGGAGCCCAATCTCCTCGTTAGCAGTCTAGCTCTGATACCATTGTAACAGTCCAAGCCATCCACCTATATATATTGTCCACTTTGGTTCGTTACGTATCACCGTCAGTTTCATGGTTTTAAAACGCGTATGCTATGGAGAGGTTTCCACACCCTTATAAGAAATGTTTCGTTTCCCTCTCTAACCGAGATCTCACACTAACCCAATTATACATGATTTCACCAACCAAAGCTCACCAAAATGGTGCTGGTGCTTCAAGTAGACAAGAACAATCACTACGGAACATATAAGAAAAACAGATGTGAGCATTAGTAAACGGATGAACAGAAGAAGAAACACAGCAATTCCTAGACACGGGCACTGATGAATATACACAGTTTTATTGGCGGCATAAGAAACTGGCAATCAGTCCCATACTCAGGATCATGCAGCATTCACCTTGGCCTCCCAACCCAGAATTACATGTTCCGGGGCAGCCTTCGTCTTCACGAACGATTCTCGAGCGAAAAGCAACTACAAAATCAACAGTCCAACCAACAAAAATTGATCACAGACTATCATATTCCCCAAGCTTCCCTCTTCCCACACCTTCTACTATGATTGAACTATATCGATCCTGTTTGTTTCCAGTTCCAAGAAACTAGACGAACTCGTGTCGACACTCGTCGGGTTATATTTGAGTTGTAAGTTCATCCTAGGATTCTCTACACACACGACACGACAACACGACATGTACCTTTTTGTATGCAGATAAACAGGCTAAGTTTTGGGGGACATGAAAGTTCTTGAAATGGGCAAGAGCAATATCAAGATGGTACAACTTCGGTGCCAGACTCAAATCAACAGCACTTACCTTCGCTCCAGCGACATAAGGACCCTGCCACCATGAGACATAAGAGCTAAATCATGAACACTTTGAACTAGTTTATGATATAGTTTACACACACATACATAAGCCATGAGATGCTTGTCCAATGCCTTCAGCTCTCTAAGCAAAGCCTGCTCTGAACAATCATTCGGGTCCTTGCTCCTCAAGAATTTCCCAAAAGCAGGGCCTATTTTTGATCCTCTGGGAGCCAAAGTAAAGAGAGGACAATAGTATCAGAACCAAATCGTATAGCTCAAGCCCATCACTAATAGATATCGTCATCTTTGGACTTCCCTTCAAGGTTTTAAAATACGTCTACTAGAGAGAGGTTCACACCCTTGTAAGGAATGAAACGGTGAGGCTAACGACAATACGTAATGGGCCAAAGCGGACAATATCTACTAGCAGTGGGCGTTACACCAAACCACCAAAAGAGGAGAAGGCTTACACAGAAGAAAATTGAGGGGGAGTAAGAAGAGAAGGGTTTGGAAACTTGTCCTCAAGAATCCTCACAATGACATCAGAATCAGGAACCCATTGACGATCAATCTTCGCCACCGGCACCTTCCCTTCTGGGCTAGCTCCCAAGAACCTGTCGAAACAATGAACAATCCACACAACCCCATTTGCTTTAAACCCCTCTTTTTCTTATAAAACAAATGTAATCGAGAAATTACCAACAGGGTTTATCGGATAAATTGATGAGATGCAATATGTAAGGAACTTTCTTCTCCTCCAAAGTTAAGAGAACCCTCTGAGTGAAAGGACCTGCAAGAAAGAAAAAAATTGAAACAGAAAAACTCCAAGTTTTTGCTGAGGAGATGAAATGGAAAGAAGAACATACAGTCTCCGATGACATTGAGTGCACCAACGGCAGCCTTGACAGCAACTTCAATGGCCATTTTCTGATCGAGGGGGTAGGAATTTGAGTACAAATTGAAGTTTTGTGGTCTGTATTCGGGGAAATTTAAGAAAGATGATAACAATGTACAGAAGAACATTCAGCCAGGAATTTGATACCTCGAGACATTTCAAAGCCTTTTTTCCGAGTCTTCTGACATTGATTGATTCATGGGGTTTCGAATATGATCCGAAATTTTCCATATTCATCAACCTAATCACTGATGGGTTCACGAAAAAGTAGAAAAAAGGGAGATCGCTGTAGCTCGTCTGAAGTTGTTTCAGCTCAACAAGTCCAACCTGTGTCGGAATCTCTCCAGCCTCTGCTCGTAAAATTATAGTTTTATTTGAATAGTTCGAAAAATCGAGTTAACCCAGAATAGCTTGTTCCTGAAACTTCTCCATTTTGATATGAATCAATCAATTCCGGTCTTGTTTTTTCTTAAATTGATACAAATGATTTTGAATCAATACTTAATTGTTGAACCTTTTCGGTTCAGTTTTGGGTTTGATCTCATATCATTTGAGTGAGAATCGGAGTATTAGCATCATTTTGTGAAGTCCTCTACGGCTTAAAGTAAAAATTTCACTAACCAAAGCTCTCCCAGAATGGTGCAGCTGTAACTGTAAGTTTCTAGTCGACGGAAGAATAATCAATATGCAAATGAGAAGAAGAAACAGAGTTATTCCTAAACATAGACATAGACACTCTTAATGATGAGGTATGGGACATAGCAACGACAGTTCCAAGCTTAGGATCATAAACTCAGGTCGAAAACATCAGAGCTCATGCAGCATTCACTTTGGCCTCCCAACCAGAAATTACATGTTCTGGGGCAGCCTTCGTCTTCACAAACGATTCTCGAGCGAAAAGCAACTGCAAAATCAGCAATCCAACCAATAACAAATGATCAAAGCATATCATATAATGTATCTATCCATTGTACGCTTCATTGTGTTTGAACACACAGTGATCCTGACCATTTCAAACTCCAAGAAACCAGATAAACTCGCATTCCACTCATCAGGGTTAGATTCCATTTGTGCATAACAAACTAGTTTAGTGGGAGTAGTTACATTGAATTTTTCATCTACGCTTAACCCTGAATAAAGTATACCATAGAGTCTCCCCTTGAGGCCTCCTTCCTTGGAGCTCTCGAACAGCCTCCCCTTAATCGAGACTCGAATCCTTCTCTGGAGCCCTCGAAAAAAGTACACCCTTTGTTCGACACTTGAGTCACCTTTGACTACACATTCGAGACTCACCACTTCTTTGTTCGACACTTGAGGATTCTATTAGCATGGCTAAGCTAATAGCATGCCTCTGATACCATGTTAGGAATCACGACTCTCCACAACGATATGATATTGTCCACTTTGAGCATAAACCCTCATGGTTTTGCTTTAATTTCTCCAAAATGTCTCATACCAATAGAGATAGTGTTCCTTACTTATAAACTCATGATATTCCTCTTAATTAACCAATGCGGAGTACTACTCTCAATGATCCTCAACATAAGCTTGATGCTAGTTTATAAAAATCAAATTGAATTATAAATCACAAACTATATAACGTCTCTGCAACGACATCGTACCTCTTTGTATTTGGATAAACTGGTTAAGTTTTCAGGGAAAATCCACTTCTTGAAATGGCCAAGTGCGACATCAAGATGGTAAAGCTTCGGTGCCAGACTCAAATCAACGGCGGTAACCTTTTCTCCAGCAACATAAGGACCCTGGTATCATATAGCATTGCCAAATATGAAATGAGTAAAATCATGAACTCTGCAATATAGTTGTTCTAAATATTAGACATGCATACATGAGCCTTGAGATGCTCGTTCAACGCCTTCAATTCTTCAAGCAAAGCCTGCTCCGAACCATCGTTCGGGTCCTTACTCTTCAAGAATTTTACAAAAGCACCACTTATCTTTGATCCCCTATGAGCCAAAGTAAAGAGATCTGAATTATTGAAATTGTTACTCAACAAAAAGTGGATGGAAAGTAAACAAGGCCCAAGCTTCATATGTTAAAAGAAATATAATCAGCCATGGAACGAGGAATAAATCAAACCAAAAAAGTAAAAGCCTTACACAGAAGAAAATTCAGGTGGAGTCGCAAGAAAAGGCTCGGGATACTTCTCCTCAAGAATCCCGACAATGACATCGGAGTCGGGAACCCATTTGTCGTCAATCTTGGCCACCGGCACCTTCCCTTCTGGGCTCACTTCCAAGAACCTGCCAAAACCATTAACAGTCCACACAACCCCATTTGCTTAAAGTTAAAACCCTCTTTGGAACTAAAATACAAGCCAAGTTTCGAGATATTACCAACTGGGTTTGTCGGATAAATCGATGAGATGCCATTTGTAAGGAACTTTCTTCTCCTCCAAAGTCAAAAGAACCCTCTGAGCGAAAGGGCCTGCAAGAAAGGAAAAAATCACCCAAAAGCAAAACAAATTTTTGATGAGAAGATGAAAGGGAAAGAAGAACATACAATCTCCAATAACATCGAGTGCACCAACAGCAGCCTTGACAGCAACCTCAATGGCCTAGCAACGACAGTCCAACGCTTAAGATTATAACACCAATAATTTCATAACTTGGGATTAAAACATCTCCTGGTACATGCAGCATTCACCTTGGGCTCACTATCAGAAACTACATGTTCTGCGACAGCATTCGCCTTGGGCTCACTATCTGAAATTACAGGTTCTGCGGCAGCATTCACCTTGGGCTCACTATCAGAAATTACAGGTTCTGCAGCAGCATTCACCTTGGGCTCCCAACCAGAAATTACGTGTTCTGGGGCAGCCTTTGTCTTCATGAAAGATTCTCGAGCGAAAAGCAGCTGCAAGATCAATCCAAACAACAACAATTGACCAGAATAATATTGTCCATCCATTGTATAATTCTCCACACACTAAGCTGCTCCCCTCCTGTCCATTCTGTTCTTCCTATTTTCTTACTGTTTAAAACACGCTTCTTTATTTGCTCGGTCTAAGACAAATACTGATCCCAATAATTTTCAACACCAAGAAACTAGATGAACTCGCGTACCCACTCGTCACTTTTAAATTTGACCTATGCATACCAAACTAAGTTTAGTGGAGATTAGTTACATTGAATCTGGCTGTCTGCGCTTAAACGAAGCACATAGTTTATCCTAGGATTCTCTATAGGTCATACATACACGCCATTACCCCAGGTTCGAGTTTACTTGAGCTTGAAAGCAACCAGCACACAATAGATTTCAAACTGCAGGTGATCTAAGAAGCTAGCAAAGCCTAAGCACAGAGAAGGCAAAACTATATAACATCAGGCCTACATCATACCTCTTTGTATTTGGATAAACTGTTCAAGTTTACAGGGAATATCCACTTCTTGAAATGGCCAAGAGCAATATCGAGATTGTACAACTTTGGTGCCAGACTCAAATCAACAGCAGTGACCTTCTCTCCAGCAACATAAGGACCCTGGAACCGCATGGCATAGCCGAAAATGAGGAGTAAAATCATAAATGCTTTAATATAGTTGTTTGATATACTCAACACACATACATGAGCCTTAAGATGCTCATCCAACGCCTTCAACTCTTCAAGCAAAGCCAGCTCCGAACCATCATTCGGGTCCTTGCTCTTCAACATTTTCACGAAAGCACCATTTGTCTTTGATCCCCTATGAGCCAAATTATGATTCAAATGCTTGCTTCGTGGATTATAAGGTAGTGAAACGAGAAATTGTACAGTTCAGAAATAGTGTCATGATTTTAATTCTTCAACCAAACCAGTTACAGATTAAGTTGTCTTAATCTGGATTAGTACTTCTAATCTGAATTGTTGAAAACATTACTGAACAAAAGAAACATACTAAGACATGGAACTAGGACTAAATCAAATGGAAAAAGGCCTTACACAGAAGAAAATTCAGGGGGAGTAACAAGAGAAGGCTCAGGGTACTTCTCCTCAAGAATCCCCACAATGACATCAGAATCAGATACCCATTTGTCATCAAACTTCACCACAGGCACCTTCCCTTCTGGGCTCACTTCCAGAAACCTGCCAAAATCATTAACAATCAACACAACCCCATTTGCTTCAAATTTAGCCAAATTTCGAGAAATTACCAAATGGGTTTATCGGATAAATTGATGAGATGCAGTTTGTAAGGAACTTTCTTCTCCTCTAAAGTTAAGAGAACCCTCTGAGAGAAAGGACCTGCAAGAAAAGGGAAAAAAACGATACCCACTCCCAAAATTGAAACAAAAAAAACTCCAGTAAGTCTTTGCTGAGAAGATGACAGGGAAAGAAGAACATACAGTCTCCAATAACATTGGGTGCACCAACGGCAGCCTTGACAGCAACTTCAATGGCCATTTTCTGATCGATGGGGCAACTGGGGAACTTCGAAAGTGGGAATTACAGAAGAAACTGATGATATGAATGGCGAGCGAATGCGGGAATTTGTGTAAAAATTGCAGCCGTGTGCTCTCAATTTCCATGGCGGATCGAGGAAATTATAGGATGAGGATAAGAAGGTACAGAACATCCAGCCAGGAACTCGGTGTCTCGAGAGATTTCAAAGCATTTCTTCGGAGACTTCTGGCATTGATCGATAAGATGGAAGGATTCTTTCCCAAGAAAAAGTACCTTTAAAGAGTTTCGATTCCGAATATGATCCGAAATTCGCCCATCTTCATAGATCACTGGAGCTAGCGCTCATCTGAAGCCCGCGTCTCTGTTTTTTGTTTTCTTTTTTCCTTTTTCTACCTTTATTTCATAGATTTTGTAATTTTTATCGTATATTTCTTTCTTATTAATCCAAGCCCTAATTTTAATGTAAAAATCTCTATGCATTCATTAACTTTATTATTAAAAAAATTTACAAAAAGTATATTATTATATATATATATAAATAAGCCGATTAAATTACTATTTAAATAATTTAAAATATAATACCTATTTAGAACGAGTCAAATGTATGGATCAAGCCAAATATTAATAGAATTTTTTTTTTCCCTAAAGAATATTAATAAAGGAATACTCGTAAAAAGTGTTAAATTTCTAAAGGTAATTTTTGTCAACCATTCTATTTATATTTGTATATTTATTCTTTATACTTATAAGAACATAGTAGAAATTGATGGGAATTCAAGTCCACCGCTAATAAATAATGTCCACTTTAGTTCATCGCACATCATTGTCAACCTCCGAGTTTTAAATGCATTTATTTTATTGAGGCATATATGAAAGTACACTAGTTCTGGAAACAAGGGAAAATAGCAAACACATAACCATTCTCAAGATTAAACTAAACCCCCAATGGTTTCATAACTTGGGGTGAACACTTATCTTGATTCATTTAGGATTCACCTTGGGCTCCCATCCAGCAATCACATATTTCGGCTCGGCCTTCGTCTTCACGAAGGATTCTCGAGCGAAAAGCAACTGCAAAAGCAACAACTAGATGAACTCACATCCCACGAGCTATGTAACGTTTGTGCAACGACATCGTACCTCTTTGTAGGCGATTAAGCTGGCTAACTCTTTGGGGATTGACCAATTCTTGAAATGGCTAAGAGCAACGTCAAGATGGTATAACTTTGGTGCAAGACTCAAGTCGACAGCAGTTACCTTGTCTCCAGCAACATAGGGACCCTGGCACCATGTGGGATTGCATCAAGTGAGGAGTGAAATCATGAACACTTTTAAATAATTGTTATATGTATCAGACATGCATACATGAGCCTTGAGATGCTCGTCGAATGCCTTCAACTCTTCAAGGAGAGCCTGCTCTGAACCATCATTTGCATCCTTGCTCTTCAAGAATTTTACAAATGCATCAAATATCTTTGATCCCCTGTGACCCAAAGCAAAGAGAATTATAATGTAGCCGCTCAAGCTCACCACTAGCAGATATTGTTCTTTTTGGGTTTACCTTTCTAGCCTTCATCTCAAGGTTTTAAAACGTGTCTGGTAGAGAGAGGTTTCCACACATTTGTAAGAAATGCTTGGGAATAATGTGGGATCTCACAATCCAACCCCCTTGGACACTGGCACACCGCTCGGTGTCTGACTCTGATACCATTTGTAACAACCCAAGCCCACCCCTAACCAATATTTTCCTCTTTGGACTTTCTCTTTTAGTCTTTCCCTCGAAGTTTTAAAACGTGTTTATTAGGAAGAGGTTTCCACACCCTTGTAAGGAATGTTTCAAGCTCCTCTCGAGCTAACGTGGGATCTCACAATCCACCCCCCTTGGAGCCCAACGTTCTTACTAGCAAACCGCGCTCAGTGTCTGACTCTGATATCATTTGTAACAACCCAAGCCCACCACTAGCAGATATTGTCCTCTTTGAACTTTCCCTTATGGACTTTCTCTCAAGGTTTTATAACACGTCTGTTGAAGAAAAGTTTTCACACCTAGTTCTCCTCTCTATCCAATGTGGGACCTCACACTGTATTAAGTTGTTGTCAAAGCCAGTTAAAGATTAAAAGTACAAACTTTAACCCGTTACGTATCACCATCAGTCTCACGGTTTCAAAATGCGTTTACTAGGAGAGTTTTCTACACCCTTATAAGAAATCTTTCGTTCTCCTCTCCAACCAAGGTGGGATCTCACAATCCACCCGCTTAGGGTCCTAACATCCTTGTTGGCACACTGCTCGGTGTCCGACTCTGATACCATTAGTAACAACTCAAGGCCTCTATTAGCAGATATTGTCCGCTTTAGTCCATTACATATCACTATTAGCCTCACAGCTTTAAAACGCCTCTACTCGAAGAGGTTTCTACACTTTTACAATAAGTATTTCGTTTCGTTCTCCAATCATTCGATCTCACATTTTCTCTTAAAAAGAAGCAGCTACTTGACAGTCATACTCCATACCAGAGAAAAAAAACATGGCAATCATAATCAGAAGACAAAATCAGCTGCAACAGAACCAAAAAATGGACACATCACAGAAACACAGACAAGTGGGTTATGATCACCCCCAACACAACAAGCACTATCAAAATTCAACAAATCTGAACCGTTGAAACCATCCGTTATCATCAAAGCCCGACAAACAGCAAACACAACACACAGAAGCCATAGGTTCCACTCAGACATAGAACAAAGGATCAAAACGAAGAAAAGGTTAAGAAAAGCCTTACACAGAAGAAAGTTCAGGAGGAGTAACAAGCGAAGGCTCAGGGTACTTCTCCTCAAGAATCCCCACAATGACATCAGAATCAGATACCCATTTGTCATCAAACTTCACCACCGGCACCTTCCCTCCGGGGCTCACTTCCAAGAACCTACCAAAATCATTAACAATCAACACAACCCCCTATGAAACCAAACTGAAGCCAAGTTTCAAGATATTACCAACTGGGTTTGTCGGATAAATTAATGAGATGCACCTCGTAGCAAAGTTTCTTCTCCTCCAAAGTTAACAGGACCCGATGGCTGAAAGGGCCTACAATACCCCCAAAAACAAACAACCCCTAATCGCAAAATTGACACAAAAAACTCGAACAAAATTGTAAAGATGAAAGGGGAAGAAGAAGAAGAACATACAGTCCCCAATAAGATCGGGCGCACCCACGGCAGCCTTGACCGCAGCTTCGAGGGCCATTTTCAGATCAAGTGGGCGGCAGATGGGGAACGTTCAATGTTCGATGTTGGATGCTCGCGGCGATTATGAAAACCGTGGGTATATATCGAAATTATGGGTCCTTAGCAGTGGTGGGTGAATTATTGAATGGGGACGGAAAGGTCCAGAACATTCAGACTCGGATTTGGTATCCCGAGGGGTCTTTTTCTTTATATATCCCAAGAGATTTTAGTCCTTAGAACTTTCCTGACACACATAAACCAATAATTCAAAAAAAAAAATTAAAATATTTCATCTTTTCTCTTATACTTTTACTAAGTCCCTCTAAATTCAATGGGTTTGAGAATCAAATTTTCGTTAATTATTATTATTATTGTCTCAATCAACAAATTAAATATGACAAAAATCGCAAATCTTTTTTAATAAAAATATTGATAGTGTGTTTATATATATCTAAATTAATTGGAATACATTTATTTAAGAGTGGTTGATAATTTTATTTATTTATAATTTAATCTATACCACATTTGGTTTATAAAGTTCAATTTTTTTTTTAATATTTATATTTTTAATATATTTTCATAGTGGTTATATTTAATCATATTTTTTAAACCATAAATTGTGAGCCACTCGTTTCTTTATAAATATCAACATATATGGTAGACATCTTACGAGTGGGATATTTTATTCCATCGAGTAAGGTCAAAAGAAAAATATTAAATTTTTTTTTAAATGTCAGACGGGTTTTCTTTTCCTTTACTTTAAATAATATTTTTTTAATTGATAAATAGTAAAAATGATAAAGGTGGAAATTCACGACCATGAAAGATTTGAACGTTTCATTGTATTGTTTGAGATAATATTATCCAAAATAAACATTACTTTCATGCGCATGTCCTATGTATGGCACGAGACATTTGTCCACATCTTCAAAAAGTTTGATTCTTTTCGTTTCGTTTTATTTTTTTCAATAATTTTTATTGGACCCATTTTACTCTAAATTTAATATGCTTTTTTTTTTTTATTGACAAATATAACAAATATATTCTAAATTTTTAATTTTAAAATATTCTTTTTGTAGATATTAAAATTATTTGTGCTTTCAAAATTCCCCACCGAACACAGATATTGTTTTTTAATTAGACATGAAATATTCGTTTCATTTACGTTTTTGTTATTTTTGGATATTTATAATTCGAGGGATAAATCCCAACGGATTTCAAATCAGTTACTCTAACTGTAATGGTCTTATTTAAAGATAATTAACAAATTTTTATTTTCTTTTATTTTCTAAATTTTTAAATGCATTTATTTAAAAAAAATCAAATAAATTGCGACCAAAATTTAAATACATTGCAACAATAATTCATTCGACTGTAAGCCACGTTTTGATTTTCGTGGTCGGAAGCTTTAGTGACGTTTTGGCCTATACTGTGGCTGAAGGTTAATAGCGACATTTTGGCCCTATAATATTTACTGTTTTTTTCCACTAAGTTTCTTAATTTTAATTAATTAAAATTAGTTTAATCAATTTAATCCACACTCGAAAAGTGAATTATGTGAGATCTCAGGTCGATTGGAGAGAGAACGAAACATTCATCATAAAGATACATATTGCAAGGCTGAAGGTGATACGTAACAGATCAAAACAGACAATATTTGCTAGTGTTAGGTTACGTTGTTACAATTGGTATCAGAGTCAGATGCATTGTGGTGTGTCCAGTGAGGACGTTGGACTCTCAAACGGGTGGACTGTGAGATCTCACAATTGAAGAGTAAAAATAAAACTCTACCCTAAGAGATCCCACCTCAGTTCGAGAGAGGAAATAAAATCTTGAGGCCTTTGTAACATCCCAAGCCCATCACTAATATATATCGTCAGTTTTGGCTCGTTACGTATTGTCGTTGATCTCACGTTTTTTAAAACACGTCTACTAGGGAGAGATTTTCACACTCTCATAAAAGAATGTTTTGTTTCATTTTCTAATCAAGGTAGGATTTCACAATAAAAACCCTCAAGGAGGTGGATTGTGAGATGGAACGGTTAGAGATGGGAAATAAAACCATACCCTAAAAGAACCCACATTAATTGGAAAGAGAAAATAAAACCTTAAAGTTGATGACGATAAGC